TCTTCTTCTCTCAGTTATATAGGTTTCATAGAGAGCTACAGAGACCCATTTGGCTCCAGAGGAGAGTTTGAAGGTAACTCTACACTGACAGATGATAGTTAGACTCTGGACCTCCCAAAGTTTTATTGCTGTGCTACAGAGTTGAAAACTATTGGGGGAATATTAACCTTGTCACTTAGCAACTAAAACAATTACATAACCACATATACAAAAATGGCACCTAATTAAAATGAAATCTTCATCAGAAAAAGGAAAGGGAATGCTACTAGACAACCATTATGGAATGTGTAATTGTCTATAATATAAAATGTAGTTTTACTTCCTTTCAAAGAGAGTGGCTCATGTGTGAATGTATGAAAGCTGGTGTACAGTATACATAGTTTATAATGCAGGAGGGTTCATATGTCATAGTTTTCATTGCTTCTTTTTCTTTCGTTTTGCGATTTAGTTCTTGATTAGTCGTTGGGTTAGTGGGATTTTTATTCTTCTTAATTCCAGTCTTGTGATATCACCTCCAGGTTTTGTTGCTGTGGTGAACAAGGCGATGAGCGAGCGTTTTGCGAAGCTGGTGAGCTCAGCAGAGGTCTTGCTTCCTGAGCTGCCTTGGCCCAGGGAGTTTGAGAAGGACACTTTCCTTAAACCTGACTTCACCTCGCTGGATGTTCTCACCTTCGCTGGCAGTGGAATACCAGCTGGCATCAACATCCCCAACTGTACGTGCACTGAGATGTCAGACGCTGTTGAAAAGCTTCAAGTTTACACATTTCACTTGGTTTTAAGTTGTGAAATTAAGCAGTATTACACTTGAAAAAAGTGTTTGTGTGTGTTTTTGTTTAGACGACGACATCAGACAGTCAGAGGGCTTTAAAAACGTGTCACTGGGCAACGTGCTGGCTGTGGCCTATGCTACAAAGAAAGAAAAACTCACCTTCCTGGAAGAGGAAGACAAGGTAACACACTAACATGTTTCTTACACATCAGCTCTTATCTTTCATACACTCCAATCATTATACATCCTCCTTTGTGTTTGTGTGTTGTTGCTCTAGGATCTGTTTATCAAGTGGAAGGGCCCGTCGTTCGAGGTGCAGGTTGGACTTCATGAGCTGTTGGGCCACGGAAGTGGCAAACTGTTTGTCAAGGTTAGTCAAACATATTGTAATACATCCTGTGATACATTAAATGAGAATATTATGATTCTAATTTATTGTGTATGTTTTGTCTGTGGCTATATGTTGTGTAGTTGACACTGTCTACTGATAGAAAGCAGTTCACTGACTGTGGTCGCATGTCCATTAAAGCAAAGTGATGTCAGCACCACAGAATTAGCCTGCACCCTTTGTGGTCACATGAATGTTAAATACCACATACACAAGCAATTAGCTGTGAGCAACAACCACAACGTTGAGTTTGAAAATGTCGGTTCCTCTTAACTTTCCAAGTTACGTTAAGGAAAGAATTTAAACAGTATATAGAAGTGCTGTATGAATAAGTGAATGTGACTTGTAGTGGGAAGCGCTCTGAGTGTCTTTGAGACTAGAAATGCAATATTTAAATGCTGTCCATTTACCACTTACTGGATTGAAGAGTTATAAAATCTGATTCAGTTTGGTGTGTTTTTAATTTACACTCTGTCTTTTGTCTTTTTCTGAAGGACGATGAAGGCAAGTTCAACTTCGACCAAAACAAGGTGATCAACCCAGAAACTGGAGAACCGGTGAGTTTTGTGTGTGTACATTTACCTGCTCACTGCACAGTCTAGATGTTATTCCAGTGTTTCACTTTGCATCCAGCTGGTGAACAAGTGACTGAAAAGTGTGAGTTTATCTTTCAGGTGTCCAGTTGGTATCGGGGCAGCGAGACGTGGGACAGTAAATTCTCCACGATCGCCTCCTCTTATGAAGAATGCAGAGCCGAGTGTGTCGGACTCTACCTGTGTCTCAACAAGAATGTACTCAGGTATATGTTGAATAGTTTATAAACCCTCCACACACCTCCTCCATCTCTCAGGAACAGAATGAGGACAAAGAGGAGTTTTTTTTTCCCCAGGCGTCGTCAACCCGTTTATGTTTGAGCTTCTGCCAGCAGACAGAGTTGTTGATACTTAATCTGTTTTTCTCAGTTACATTCAGTCAATCATGTCTGGGATGTTAATGCTGCATTAAATATGTGGCTTTTTAGATGTGTTATTTATGATGTGAGACTTTGGCTGCATTACCTCAAAATGAATGAAGTGTGTGGGCATGATTTGCTATTGGATGTGATTGATGTTGCAAGACGAGCCAATAGAAAAATAAAAATATAGAGAAAAAAAAAATGTTTTTTGCATATTAAAGACATAAAAAACATCTTCATAAATCTTAATCCAAAAATGTTGCTGTTGGTTTTAAAATCATCCGCATCAATTATTGACAAAACAAGTTATGGATCTCATTGTGTAATTTAAACCCAATCCAATAATCTGAATGGAGAGGTTGTTATTACTGATAAATCCAGGTGACTTGCTCTTGATGGTTTTGAAGGTGGCCAACCCCTTTACTGTCATGTCTGTCTGTGTGTTCCAGTATCTTTGGCAACGAAGGCGAGGACGCTGAGGATGTGGTGTATGTCAACTGGCTCAGTATGGTCAGGGCTGGACTGTTGGGCCTGGAGTTCTACACACCTGAGAGCAAGAGCTGGAGACAGGTAATCTCACTATCCATCTCTCTTTTCTTGGAATTGACCTGTATTACACTCATAGGCCCACTCCAGACTCCTGTGGGTTATTACACCCCCTAAAACTATTTGTTCCTCAAAATTACATACTCATATGGTTTGTCTATTAAAAAAAATTCCTCTTAAAACAGCTTAGATTTACTTCTTCATTCTCCATTTTGTGACTGGGATCTATGAATAAGTGCTCACCTGCACTTGAGGAACCTTTTACAGCTACTGGGCTCCACCCACAAGTTGACAGGATTGGTTTCTTAGGTTTGTGACATCACAAAGCCTGGTTGTCAGACTCCACCTTTTAGACTGGCATTTGTTTACTCAGTCATGGTGCTGACTGCTTATTTTGCTCATATGTCTTTTATCATATAAAAACCAAAAATCAGTAAAAACGTGTTAATTAGTATTAAGTATTAATTTGAGAGTAAAAGGTTTTTGGATGGAGGTGAGAGATAAGAGACATTTATCAAGTGACTTTCTGACAGTAAATATACTATATAATTTACTAAGAAAACTCATGCGATCACATGAGTGATGCAGAATAGTTTGGTTGTTTGACTCAACATCTGCTATGTATGTACACAAAAAGTAATTTGTTCATTCAGTGGTGGTTTGGAAAGTTTTTGTGTGAAATTGTTAAATCTCATGGGAAAGGAACAATAACATATTTAAAACGTTGTGTCAGTCAAATAGTTTTCTACTTTGGTTAACACAGGTCTCGGCTCTCAACCTGTAAAATGACTCATAATGTTCAGTTATGTAGAACATCAGACGCATAGTGTCGGGCGATCAGTGTTTACAAGGGACGTCAATGTACAGACCATTAAGCGTCTGTTTCTCACAGCCCGACTGGCTCAGTCTCATGTGTCTGTGTTGTTTTATAATTCAGCTTACAGTATGTCTGCCTCAGTGTAAACATGAGTGTCGGATTGTGTACACACTGCATGTCACACGTGTGCGTTTTGTGTTCCTGTCTCAGGCTCACATGCAGGCTCGCTTCGTGATCCTGTGTGTTCTGCTGGAGGCCGGGGAGGGCCTGGTGGGCCTGGAGGAAGTGACGGGGGTGGACGGCAAGCCTGACGCTCGAATCACACTGGACCGAAGCAAGATCCACACTGTGGGCAAGAACGCCATCCACAGGTTCCTCTGTAAACTGCAGGTATATCTGAACTTATTCAGTTGTTTGGACAGAAGAAAGACAAATGTGTTGGCTCTTTTTAAAGAAATAAAGCAGTGTTGTGGAAATAAACAGTAACTTATTTTACTAATACACCACTGGGAATTTCCTTTTATCAAAGTTAGAGTAGAAACTATAAGTTCATTAGGTAACAGTCAAAGAACTGGTTTGTTTTTGATATTTGACTGATCATATAAGTGATTAAAACGGGTTTTCTTTGTCTTTAATAATAATAGACTGAATATATTAGACCTCTTAGCATTGGCTTTTGGAAACTGATGGATATTTCTTTATTTTCTGAGGTTTTTATAAACCTACCTTAATTGTGGTTTAATCAAGACAATCAGCAAATTGATCAATAAATCAGTCAACAAATAGAAACAAAATATAAACTTTACAGGCTGTTGTACACTTACATTGATTTGGGTGATTTCTTTATTAGTTGCTTCTTTTTATTTTTTTATTTATTAGCATAATCTTGTCTGTTCTGTGGCAATGCAGCACATTAATGCTAAGCCTCCTCCGACTGACATAATGAAGTGATGTGAATGTTATGGTTAATTATCTCTCGATTCTATCATACTGTTGTTTTTGATCAACCTCTTTTATTAACCTGATTCCACCTGTTTGCAGATCTTAAAGTCGACAGCGGATGTGGAAGGAGGCAGGGCTCTCTATGATTTCTACTCCACTGTCAGTGACACCGGCGCCCACAACTTCTTGCGTCTTCGGGAGACGGTGCTGCTGAGGAAGGAAGATCGAAAGATGTTTGTCCAGGCCAACACCAAAGTCAATGGTGTGTACCTTTTCACCTGTTGTTATGGGGATTATCTCACATTCAATAATAGATGGATAGTACATATGTAGAAGCAGCTGTAGCCTCTTGGGTAGATAATTCAGTTTGTGTCTGACTGTGTGGTTTACAGGGGACAGTGTTGAGCTGGTGGAGTATGAAGGCAGCGCAGCAGGATTGATCTGCTCCTTCACCCAGCGCTTCCAGGATGACGCAGAGAAGCTGGAGGCCGACCTTCTGGAGATGAGCAAAAGAGACGCCCCCTGCTGGTGTTGATGGATGTCCAATCTATAGGCTTCAAAAATTCCAGCTAAAATCAACATGTTTTTTTTTTTAGCCAAATGTGATAAGAGAGGTGATGATGAATGTTGAAAAACTGCAGCTTCTTTCAAATCCTTTAAAATGACATTTCTATAGGGAGACTACATTACCACAAAGCCAGAACACATTTGCCAAAAGACACCAGCCAGTTTTTCCATCCACAGCTCATATATACTGTTTAGTACAACATCATTCTTTTTGATGCACTTATTTTTCTGAGGAGAAGTATTGCTGACTAACCATTAAACCAGTGCTGCCTGACCGTTTAAATCCTGGGTTTAATGTCTATGTAAGTAACGGTTGGTCACAAATTGGTTTCACAAATCACAAAATGATTAGGAAATATTTTGTCTCTACTCAGAACTTGACAGTTGACTTTTGGCTAAAAATGATCGTTACAACTGGTCCTCTAAGTGAAATGTTTGTCCAGCATCTGCAATCATAATTATCTGAAAGCTTAAGATGATTCTATGGTAACACAAAAACACTGTATACCAAGTTTGGTATTAAAATGAATCTACTAATTGACAGTTCAAAAATATTGTTGTTTGGAAGGCCTAAAAGAGTGTACTGAAGAAATGTAGTGTTGATCTTCACAATAAAAGTTGTTTGATAAGAACTTTGTGGATTTTTTTTCTACCAGAGCCACAGGCTTTAATTTATTTATGTTATAATTAGATTACAAATATCCCTCGAGATTAAGGAATGACATATATAAAACCGACACTTGACTGAAGGATGAGTTATGTGTCAGAAACAAACCATTCACGTTGCAGCAAGAAACTAATTTTAAGTCTTTCTGATATTTAACTGCAGTGATTTCACTGGAGGGTCAGTGACAACATCCTGTGTCCTGTTTCTGTTCTACAGTTGTGGAGATAGAGTTTTTAAAGAATGTTTCTTGTTTGCAGTTGAATTCTCAGGAGATATGGAAACCCTGTCAAATATTTTATTGTATGCTTGGGAGACAGAGGGTGACAGTAACTGTACAAAATTTCTATTAACATGACTTTTTAAATGCAAAACATCAGGTATGTGCGTGGGAATTTTTGGTTTTGTGCTCAAAGTTGTCTTCTAAAAAAATATGTTTCTAAGCTCCTTGAATGCTGGCAACTTATCTGTGCTAATTTTACACAATTTGTTTTTCTTATATCACTTCACATAATAATTAAAAGTCTTGCATTTTTGATTGCTAGAGGTTCACACTGTTCTGATCATGCAGTGAGTGAGTTGGAGTCTCTGCTGCCCCCTCGAGACTGCTGAAGGAACTGCAGCTGTCCGTGTCGTTAAGAGAAGCAGCATTCATCTGTAAAACCAAACCCTCCTCTTCCTCCTTTTCATGCAATTCCTCATTTGTTTCATCTTTGTCCTCCTTATTTCCATCGGTGGCTGAACCTTCCTCCTCAGTGTCTGGCTCTGATCTTTGTTGACTGGGTCTTAAAGCGGTGGCAGTGGGTGTGTGATACACCTCCTCTGTCCTCTGAGACAAGGGTGAGGAAGTGAAGGGAGACAGGGGGAAGGCGACCTTAGGAGAAAGTGAAGGCGACTGATAAGGCGAAAGGGAGGGTGAGGCACAGGGGGAGTCGCATGGAGAGAGAGAAAAGGGGGCCTTGGGAGAAATGGTTGGGGATTGATATGGGGAGAGAGAGGGAGACATACCGGGAGAGCTGTGAGGAGAGAGGGACTGTGACAGTTTCAGGAAAAGAGGAGGTGCCATGGAAGCGGAAAGGTAAGGAGAGAGTGAAGGAGGATGGGAGAAGTTGATCATTGGAGAGGGCTGCATGTAGTCTGATTCCTCTTCGAGATGCTCCATCACTGTTGGGAGCTGGGCAGCCTCTGAAGTCTCAAATTGAGCTTTAGTTTCACCCTGCTCCTGCTCCTCCAGCTGGCTGTGAGGAGAGAGGGACTGTGACAGTTTCAGGAAAAGAGGAGGTGCCATGGAAGCAGAAAGGTAATGAGAGAGTGAAAGAGGATGGGAGACGTTGATCATTGGAGAGGGCTGCATGTAGTCTGATTCCTCTTCGAGATGCTCCATCACTGTTGGGAGCTGGGCAGCCTCTGCAGTCTCAAATCGAGCTTTAGTTTCACCCTGCTCCTGCTCCTCCTGCTGGCTGTGAGGAGCTGCAGACGGAGGCTGTGTTTGGGCTTCAGAGGGACCCTCCTGTGTTTGTGTCAGAGGCTGGGTGACCTGAGCTGTGGGATCTCTCTGGGTGATGGCTTGACTTGGGTTCCCACCCTGAGAAAGACTTTTACTGAGCTGGTGGCCTCCGACACCCTGTTTCTTTTTCTGTGCTTTACACCTCCCCTTACTTTTGGGCATTAGAGGCGGTGGAGGTGGCGACACGAGAGGCGGGGACAGCAGGGTGGATGTCTCCATGGAAATTCGAACTTTGAGGCTGCGTTTCAACATTCGCCGTCGAGACAAAGCGCTCTGAGACTGCAGGAAAAGTGGATTGATGAAGCAGAGAGCACCCAAGCCGTATCCACAGTCCAATTCTCTGGGGCTGCGCGTCATGATTGGACAAAACTCATGGAACAGAGTGGGGTTGGGAGCTGATTTATTGGTGGCTGCGCCTGGTTCTGGTACTGTGTTGGTCTGGTGGTCTGAGTCTGGCTGGGGAGTTGATTTAGAGCCGGTCTGCGGAGGAGCAGCAGGTGGCGCTGGGGTTGCAGGGTCTGGCTTCTGCTTCTTGTCCTTCTGCTCCTTGGGAGCCTCCCGCGGCCCGCGGACGTTCAGATGTGAACTCCAAAACTCTAGCAAACAATACAGATGTTTTTTTCATAAATACCAACAATCTGTATTCCATGGACACAATAGAAAACTGAATTACAGGGACCTATAGTTTTTTTTGCATTTTTGTGCTTATATTGTATCTGTATCTTTTCATTGTACATACTATTCGTATGTTATTAATGTTGGATTCTGTTTCTATGCTAACTGTATTCTCATCATATTTCCCCTTGTGCTGCTGGTTATCTTATCTTAAGCTTAATTTAAACAAGTTTCTGGATGATTGGCTAAAAAATTCATGAATGGAAGGATTAATGTTTGTTTCCCAGCAGCTGGAAGTTTGTTACCTTATGTTTAATATGTGAGCGCCTTGTGTAAGGAAATGAGGAGTTGTGTTCACCAACCTATTCCCATATGCGAGATGGACTCCAGCTCTTTGTGTGATGTTGCCTTTGCGATGGCTTCAGGAAGCTCCAGAGGGAAAGGTAATACATCTCTGAAACACACACACAATATTGTTTCCTGTTGATCAATAGATATGGTCAAGCGATCAATGTGGAAATTATGAAAAATTGATGGTGACTCAATAGAAGTGTGGGTGGGGGTGGGTGGGGGGTGTTATGAAGGAGGATAAGGAAGATAATGTTCTACCTGCTGACACAGTAGAAAGAAATCAGTCTCGGCAGATCTGGAAAACTGATGGCCGAAGTCTCTAGAGACAGAGCTGTGGTGAGAGAGATGGGTAGTTAGTAAGATTGATGTGGTTAAACTGCCTCTATGGTTATTTGACTATTTACTGTGATAATGTGGTTATTTGTATTCCATTGTATTTGGATGCCATTCACTTCTGATCATTTATTGACAATATGAAATTTCCGCCACTTTTTATTATATATAAGCTGAAATCTAACCGGTCAATCTTCCAGTGACAGCTGGTCAAAATTTTAGACTTGAGGCAGACTTGCGATATAATGTTTAAAAGGCCGAAAACATGTTTTGTCAGGTGGTCTTGACCTTTGACCTCCCAAATCGAATCAATTAATCCTTTAGTCAAACTGAACATTTGTACCAGATTTGAAGACATTCCCTCAAGGCGTTCTTGACATATCATGTTCACAAGAATCAGACAGATGGATGGACGACCCACAAACCTAATGCCTCGGGCTACTTGCTTTTCTCTTTGCAGAGATACAAAAACAAGTTTTCCATATTTTCAGCTTTGTGTCTGTTGAAATCTGTTGAAATTAACCAAATCACAGTAATCTATACAATAGCATATACAGTATTTGAAAACTAAAACAATGTAATCACACAAGCCTGATGGGATGTACCTGTTCATCCAAATGGCCTCACCAGTGCACATCGGTCTTTAAGTGTAAATATGTAATAAAAGTGTAATGAAACTGCTGTGATTATTGTTTCTGATCCAGAGATTTCATCTTCTGGGTTTGGCATAAGACACATGTTTAAGCTCATTAGGGTTTAGGAGTGTTGGGCTCTTACTGCTCTGTTCCTCCCTGATGCCAAACTGCCGAACGAAGGACGGCACACTGTCATCCACCAACCGCATGCACAGCACGTTTCTCTGAGATGTGCGAGACCTCCGCACCAGGAATGTCTGCAGGACAACACAATTGAGTAACTGGTAAGAGAGAGAAACACATTGTCTGTATACACCTGGCATTAAAATGTGTCCTGAATGTGTCTCCTGTGACCATTTGTGATGGGATCTCACTTCCTCACTCCATATGCAAATAATCACATCTGTCATTTGTTTTTGTGAAGACCAAATGATGCTGTTTTTACACAGTCTGAGTTTAGATGCTTGAGTGTATGTGTATGGGCACTGAGAAGCATAAAAATTAATTTAATTCACAAAGAAGCTGTAGCAGCTCAGAGTTCGTCAGCTGTACAGTTTTTGCGTCCCCAGACTGCCTCCGAACATGATCTGAGTGATCAGATCACAGGACGGATGTTAATACAAGGTCTAACCAAGCTCACTGAATGTGTGTGTGTGCTTGCTTTCTTGTGATTTTCTCCTTTTAAGTACTAAATGTGTGTATCTGACCCCAGGAGGCTCTCTCTGCAGTATGTGCAGTGCGTTAGCAGGGTTGATTGACAGCTGGAGCCAGACAGGGACTGTGAGCAGGAGGCGGTCCAGTACGCTGACGCTTCTCAAGGAGCCTTGTCCCCTTTGATGCCCCGAGAACTTCCGCTCTGCCGATTGGGTGGGCTCTGGGAAATCATACAGGGGTTCGTCTTGCTGTGCCATCTACACATAAACACACACGCACAACCAAAACACACACATTGTTATGGATAGTCCTGCATCTGATAATGCACCCCTGAACATGCTGCATGTCTTTCTAACAAGGAGATGGGTGGGCCGGCTGCAGACACACACACAGACACACACCTGCGCTGTAAATCTGCCTGGATTGGGACAGCAAGTCCAGACTTGGTAAAGTGCAGCAGCTCAGGCACAGACAGAGCTTCAATGCTAAGAGGAAGCATGCAGCACACAACAAACACCACATAAAGTGCTATCACTATTATTATTGATATAATAATAACATATGAACATATCTAATGTCTTCCATTCTGTCAAAGCTGCAGTCTACAGGCCAACGTCTGCCTGGATCTGCAGCGTGCATTCCTGTGAAACTACATTTCCTCTTCTAATTATTCACACACTTCTGTTCCTGACCACCACAAAACTGTTTAACATCAGCTACAGCGTGATTCTCACTGTTACACAGCCCAGATTGTTGTTTACCTCTTCGGCCTGATCCTTCTCTTAATCCCCTTTATGATGTCATACTCCTTTTTTTTCTTCTAGCAGCCAAGTTTACTAGATGGAAAGTCAACTTCTCCTCTAACTCCGGTGAGTCCAAAGATCTGGAGACGTCTTCCTTCCTACTTCTAGCTCCTCCTCCTCCTCCTGCTCCTCCTCCTCCTCCCACCTGACCTCACCTGTTGAAAACGCGTCTGCACCACAGGACTGGACTGACTGTGAGTCATGAGTCCGACTGCAGCTTGACCAGCAGCACATTCAGCTGAACTGTTGATGTAAAGAGTTGTTAGTGTGATAATAAAACAGCAATGTACAATGTTTGATACAGGACAGAAACATGGTACAACCCCCTAACATCTCACTTTATATAATAACTCTGTGTGTGTTTATCCATAGAAACAGCCTCCTCCAGAGGTTAAACTTTAGTACTGCAGTATTTGCACAGGCCTTGGAGTGGTTTGACTTTTCAGTGAGATAAAAGGTTTTTTAAGTAAAGTGTTATGACAATGTGACGGTTGAGAAACAATCCAAATGATGAAAAACGTGTATTATTTGAATGAATAATTCACACTGGATAACTCTTTAACTTCCCAGTCTCTTGTGTTTACTTACATATTGCAAAATCCCTCCCCTGGTGCTTATAGCATTTCTAATATTACATTTTTGTTTCCTGCTTTTATTTTTGTATATATCTATACTTGCACAAATACAACACAGCAGATTCCTTGTATGTGTAAACCTGCTTGGCAATAAAACCCCATTGTGATGCTCTGAGTGTGCAAACATCGATCAAAAGGCTGCAGCACTTCTTCTAATGTTGACAACTGACTCACACAGTTTGTGATTTTACTTGTAAACATCCATCATGACACACACACTAACAGAAAAACGCAGAATAATCCCTTTATGTTTATTTGGCTGATGAAAAACGAAAGCTATTCTGAAGTATGATGAATTTGTAGTTGTTCACGTTGTATATTAAATTATAACTTAACCTGCGGGAGTCTGACAATGATGCGTCGCCGCTTCTCCTCTAGAAACCGGAACCGGAAGTGAGGTTTGAAATACAGCTACGGGACCGCGTTGGGTAAGAAGTCTGCACCGTGCTGCCGCTTTTAACGTCTTTCTCTGCTTTTTTTACACAAAACCTGGAAGCAACAGAATAAGTTTGTATTCTTTATGGCAGTGGGTACCATTCATATACATCTAGCTGTAACAATTACTCCAATATACAATGATAAAACCCACTACGTTAGCATTAGCTACCTAGCTTAGCTAGCGCTAGCTGCGTCGCCGATGCTGCCGTTCAACAAGATGGCCAGTAGTTGTTATCTGCTGGTAGTGTGACTGACCTTACATCGTCTCATTCAAACTGTTTTGTGTTGGTTTTTGTTTGACGATAAATAACCAGCAAGCTCTCAAACTGTTTTTAACTTCATGCGATCAGCCTCTCTCCCGCGAAAGTTAATTTCATTAGCTTAGCTAACACTCGACTAGCTAACGTCGGTGCACTTCTTAGAGCAGGGGACTGTAAACACTCCATCAATGAATAACCACCTCAGTTCAATAATACCGATCAGGTTATAATCCTGATTTGGCTTTACTCTTAATCGTAAACTAATCGTAGATTATCGAATTCATTAGCATTAACCTACGTATCAAACGTAACCGATGCGTCCTGTTTTCTCTCTTGCAGATGTCTGGTTGATTCAGAGATGAGCGACAACGTGAAGTTGTTTGTGGGGAATCTTCCTTTAGATGCAACTCACGACGAGCTGAACAAGCTCTTCGCTCCGTATGGAGAGATCAACACCTGCTCCCTGCTCAGACAGTACGCCTTTGTGACTCTGAAGGGAGAAGGGGCAGCAGACAGGTATTCAACGGTGCTTTACCACTGTTTGATGCGATGAAGGAACCGCTGCTCTTGTGGGTCTTTGAGCAAACTTAAATGGGCACATGAAATGATATATTCTTTCATCGGTTTTGACCCAGTTTATAAAATTGTTGCCAGGTTTTCCAGTCTGACCTGTCACAGCTTATGTTGACTTAAGACGACTTTAACTTAACATTGCCAATTAGTCACTGTGGGACTAATAAAGGATTCTTTTATTTTAAGATTAGACACGTTTATTCATTCTAAAGATGAGCAGCAAGATACTGTCAATCAAGTTTGTTATGCATATAAAATAAATGCAGGTTGCATGTTTCTCTGTGCCTTGTGCTGTTCACTTGGTAATGATAAAGGTAATTCTCATATCTACAGGGCCATACGGCATCTCGATGGCAAAGAGTACAGAGGCAGACCCCTGGTGGTAGAGGAATCCCGTGCTCGTCCACCCAACTCCACAAAAGTGTTTGTAGGAAACCTCAGCGCAACATGTTCCGCAGACGACTTGCATGGGCTGTTCTCAACATTTGGAAGAGTTTTAGACTGTGATAAAGTCAAAGGTGCGTAGTTAATCAAATCTTAAATAAATTGAAATGAGACATTTATTTGAATATTTTGTAAATGAATGGACATAATGTCTAATTACAGCATTATTGTTTAGAAGTTTTCAGTGAGTTTATCTAGACAGTTGGGTTTCAAAGTTTGAAGAGTTAAATCCATCAAGTTAATAATGTTGAACAGTATAAGATGGACATCAGTTCACTGATCTCACTGCTCCCTCTCTACTCTACAGCAAGATTATGCTCAAATGTCGGCTATGCCTTTGTGCATATGGAGAGGAAGGAGGAGGCCCTTGTAGCTATCGAGGCACTTAACGGGACCATGTTCAAGGGCCGTCAGTTGGCCGTAGAGCTTTCCAAAGCCCAACCTTTGATCAACCAGCTCGCCTCAGGGGGAAATGGAGCCAATTCTGCTGGTACTGTATCAGCAGCTGGAGATGAAGGATACACTAAACAAGTGTTATGTATTTAATTGAATAATGTAAGGAGCTCATGTGTCATGTCTTTTTCTTCTCCCAGGCGGCAGAGAAGGTCTTCTCCCCCGACCTCCTCCATCACTAGAACATCACCAGAGTCAAGCAGCTGTGCTAGCAGCAGCTGCTGCAGCTGCTGCAGGACTACCCATACAAGTAAGTTAATGCTACATCCACACAACTCTACCTTTTTGGTTTGAAGTGCTTCAAGTTTGCTATATTTATGCCTGCTGTCCACACGAGACCACGTGATTTAAGATTTCCACATTTTGTTCTGTTTGAGACTCATCTTAAGATGTATTCAATTCATTTTTTCTCACAAATCTACACACAGTAATCCTCCACAATGAAAAAGAAAAATTTGGTTTTTGGAATGTTTTGTGAATTTATCAAAAAATACAAGAGTGAAATATCCTATTTACATAAGTAATGACACTTGCAACTGAGCTGGTGCATCCTTCTTCTATCAATGGTCCTTGAGATGCTTTGGACATTGGACATGAATAGGATTGGCAAACACCTGTTTTTATAAAGTCTCACAGTTGATGGTATATGTCAGAGTGAAAGTTAGGCCATGTGGTCAAGAAAATTGTCTGTGGACCTGCGAGACAGGATTGTGTCAAGAAACAGATCTGGTGAAGAATACAAGAACATTTCTACAGCATTAAAAGTGCCCAAGAGCACAGCACGCCCAGTAATCAAGGACGAAGGTGTTTGCTTTGTTTTTATGGAGTATTGTGTGTAGATTGATTTGTGAGAAAAATGAATTGAAGGATCTGAAAAGTCCATAGATGGGTTTTCAGTTGTGTTACTATAGATGGTGATTACTTGGCTGGAAATCATTGTTGTTTTTAAAAGTGTTATAAACAAAAACGCATTAGTCTAGATGTATCCCAATTGTCTAACGGTGACCACTATCATTTGAAGACCTCACTAATGATTTCAGTCAGATCCACCATAAAACCTTGTAACACTTTGCAGTCGATCTAACCTTGTGTCTAACCCTGTTGTGATGTCTTGTTGCTAAATTTTATATGCTGGTGTCTTTCATGTGTCTTTGCAGGTTCAACAAAGTGTCCATAACTCATTCTACAACACCACATCCTTCGACCCCACTTATGCAGCTCTGAAGGGCATTACTAGTGCTAAAGGTGCAGATGGGGTGATTTACGGTGCTCTTGCCAGCCAGGTGTATGGTGCTGTTGCTGACCAGGTGTACACTGATATGGCCAATCACAATACCGTAGCCAGCGCTGCCGTTGAAGAAGTGGAGCCACAGACTGGACCAGATCCAACAACGCTTTTTGAGGCAGCAAGAGCCAAGTTCTTTCAGGAAGGACAGAAGGTCTTTAATCTTTTATTTGTGTAAAATAATAGTTTTCATGTTTATTTTTTGGCATTGATTACAAATTTCTACATGTAATGTGTATTTACTGACAAGGTTCTGGCAGAGCAGCAGGCGGGGAGAAAGGCAGCGTCTTCGGAAAATGAGCGGGATCGCAGCCCAATTAGAGGAAATCGAGCCCCCCTCCTCCCTGACCCCGTTCCGGGTTCCTTCGCTCAGATACGACCCAAACGACGTGCCCTGCTGCCGACACCACCTGGCGTACCAGAGGACACCGCATCTGCCACCACAACTCCCGAAGGGTCAGATCCTGTTGCTAGGTACATTTTTAAGAAAACATAATCTGTATTATAATAATAATGTTAAACCTGTTTCGACTTGTACACATGACAGAAATAATAGTTTTTGTACAGCACTTAAAAAAAACTACACAAATGTGTTTGAAAACATTAAACTAAAATCATCTACTTGCTCTCTAACCTTTCTCTTTTTTACTTCCCTCTTACCATTTCAATGGTAACCTGCACTCCAGGTCTTACACAGAGTACTATCAGCAAATGCATCAATACCAACAGTACCAGCAACAATACCAGCAACAGTACCAGTACCTCCAGTATGCCTACACCAATCCTCCTCCTCCCCCACCTCCTCCGCCTCCAGCCAGCACACAGGCCACTTCTGCAAATCCTGCACCCCCAGGGACGTACACGGCACCCCCAACATATGCCGCACCGGGAGCCTACGCGCCGCCCGGTACATATGGCGCTTCGGGGAACTACGATGCCTCGTCAGGGAGCTACGACGCCTCGGCAGGCTATGACGCATCTGGAGGCTACGGAGCATATGATTCATCAGGAGCTTACACAGCAGCGGGAAGCTACTCCGCATCCACACCGTATGAGCAGACACCCGCACACGGGCAACCCATGCCCCAGCGCCATGATTACCCTTACCACACGCCAGAACCCCCTTATCGATAGTTCCATCCCCAGCACACTCCTACCACACTGCAGATGTGTGTGCGTGTGTTTGTGTGTGCTCGCGTGTGTGCATGTGTATTTACATGAGGGACAGTTTAAAGAGGAAAATCCGAGAGGGAGTAAGGTTGTAATTCGAATGTGCTTTAAATATGAAGCGCACCACCCTTTTGTACATTTTACCCAAGTCTGTAACTCGCCAGCCGGCTGTGATCGTTGTTAATAGGGTGAATATATGCGTTAACAAGTGGACAAAGGTGGAGATGAGTGGGACAGTTAATATTGGAATATTTTCGAACATTAGTTTTTGTTTGATATTACAGAGGCACAGCTGAAAGTTTCTTCGGTTAAGTTACAGAAAGGTTGGGTTCCATTGAAGCTTTTTCTTTGGTGCTGGTTTAAGGCCTCTTACATACTCTACTTAAACATTTGCACAAATATTGATGTTGAATAGTAAAATGTGCTAAATTAAAATTGTAACGGCGTCATCTTAAAAGAGTTTAGATGCTCAGTCTTTTTCAACAGATGAGTAGAGCCATGTCAAAATGAGGAACTTATCCATCTTGCACTTTTTGTTAACAGGATAAAAAAAGATTTTCTTCTACATGTTACAACTTTTCTTGCAGTAACAGAGATTCAGGTTTGTACAAGCTTGTACACCTTTATGATGACCAATTTCAAATCTATATTTGAGCCCACACGCTCACCGCCCTGTGTAGAGAATGTAACAGGCCTTGGTTTGAATTCTGTCACATTGACCTGTTTGTAAAAAGTGGACTGTTTGTCCAGACATTAAACAGGAGACATCTCATCATTTGTTGCCTTCTTAGTAAATAATCTTCACCTGGGTAACATTGAGAATGTGTGTAAATTGGCAGCATTGTGGTCAGAGTATGTTTTAGGCTGGTTTCACTGAGCTGACTGGTTTTTCAAGCTACTGCAGCTGTTCAAACTCACACTGTCTCAGTCGCAGGTTGATCAGTTTACTTTGCAGCGAACTTCACTGCAACAGAAAGTGATATTGTGGTTACCTGCTCTGACTTAGGTTTTTTGTTTTGAGCCAACCTTTCATGAAGTGAAAAATCCCCCCTCTATGGTTATCCCGTTTAAGTGGGAGAGTTAGTTTAACTTCAGACAGATATCACCAGTCTGTGACTGTGCATGTTCAAGAATTCATAGTTCAGTTCAGTAGCCTCTTTTAACTTTTGAGAACAGGGTAAAAATACTGAGTGGATGTTTTTAGACTTGGATGTCCTCCGAGTTGTTTGTCATAATTTACGTCACTTGTTTTATTTCTCGCTCAGCCGAGGCTCTCCATGCATCTCAAACACAAAATACAGTATATCATGTCAGAGTCTTAGGTCAAAGATTAGTCAGAAGAAGATCTGATTTTAGTTTTGTCTTGAATAGCTGTCGTAAGATCCTGTGTGAGAAGCAAGTTCTACATGATAGATACAAAATTTCTCCCTTTTTTTGACATTTTCTACCATTGGTTTTGTTCGGGTCTCATCAGCTGTCGTCACATTACAGCTCACATTAGTAAACCACTAGTGATTTAGAGGGAAAGTGGAGCTAGTTTTCATACCAGAAAATTTACAATTTGCTACTTGTGTAAATATTTTAAGCTGCAAAAGTAATTTCAACCAACATTTGGTAAGAATATTGACTGTTCTTTTGAAGATGATGTGATTGTGTTTCCTCTTAAACAGTTGAAGACAGCGAGTAGACAAGATAATGTAGGACTACTGATTTGTTGTGTAAATAAAAGGCAGCCCTTTTATTGGCTGAGAAGGAAAACTGTCATACTTGTAGCATGTGGTGAGTGGGGTTGAGCCTCTGGCATATGAACGAAACACGCTGTAAAATCAGACATTGCTAACGAGTTTAAATGCAGGTTACATAAATTGTAGAAAAATGTGAGAAATCATTTCAGTGGCTATGAGTGTGTCTCTTCTAAGTGCAGTGCGGTGGCGTGTTGCTGATGTGCACAACGTAGGGTACTTCACTGAGTGGATATGAGGTGACGGCCTTGGTGCCGTAGGTGAACGCAGGGGTTGTTTTTGATTTTGTGAAGGCCGCAGAGTTTCCCGAGCAGTAGCGAGAAGGGTCATGATTTCCTTTTCCCTCTTGTGGTCTCACCAGAAACACATGGCTAAGTTCACTGGCTGTCTCTGCATCCATATCACACCTCAAGAGTTGTTTGACGCCACATGTATATCTAGATGCATTGTATTTGGGTTCATTGTTTCATGTCAACCAGATTACACGGGCAAAGGATCATAATCTACACCTGATCTCGCCTGAATTTAGTTTTTATGACTGACAATAGTCCTGTTCATAATTGTACCACACACTAGCTACTTCTGTTTTGCCACCTGAACTGGTAGTGCTACGTTAGGTTTAAGTGACAGATAGCCTCTCCACATTTCCACATTATTCCACCTTCTCCATGTGAACTGTTAGTTGCATGCCTTGTTGTTGCTGCTGCTCCAGCCACCTTCTTCCTCTTGCTGATTATTGCAGCTAGAGTGGGAGGGAGCCAAACTGAGCCCTTGCCCTGGACGTACGCCACACGCAGCTGTAGCGTGGGATGGGGAAAACAGCAGCGTTAGGCCTGAAACTGCTGTGGACGATGGGGTGTCCCCCCACTAAGGTAAACACGCAGATCACACACTCCTGCCCCTCCCTGTAACACACGTATACACTCACACACACAAACAGACACACCTTTGGTCATACTTTCTATTCTTCATCCGACGTTTGGAATTTCATAAAGTTGGAAATGGGATCACCCATCTTTTTTTTAAATGGGTGATTACTCTTTTTCTTTTCTTTTTTTTTTCCTGCTTTTGATTTTCCAGATCACATCCCAACATTTTCCCCCCCAAGCATTCTCTGCTCATACATTCCAGCTCCCAACATACCGACTGCTCGAACACCAACTTTTGAGGAGATGCACGCCATCGTTTAGTCTAAATCTGAAGCAGGCACATTGTTGTTAGTACGTCCTGTATCTGACAGCCTGTCTTTCAAGAGTACCAGGCAATCACATCCAAAGCTGAACGTGGGACATGTAGGTAGGATGCATTGTTCTAGTTTTTGTAAACGTGTACCCCTGGGGCCACTTTGGGGTTAAGTGCCTTGCTTAAGAGCACGTCTGTAGGCCCTCACTTTCAGTGTTGAATAACCTGGCTCAGGATCGGTTGCTGGTTCAACGACACCCCCTCTCCCCCTCCAAAACAACGATTTTTGATGCCACATTCAACTTGTATGAATAACAATGAACACAAATATTATCATTTTGTTTTAAATTACATTTTGTTCCATGTTCTTTGAAATGCTTAATTATCAATAAATACATTTCATCTGAATTTCTCTGTGTGAACATTAATATAAGTTGCCAGTGTTGCAGAACTGAATCAATCATGAATCAGTGTGTTGCTCGATACTGTTTTCACTTGTCTAATGCATTTGTGGAGGAGGCATCAAATAACTATTTGAGCTCAGCTTGAGATGACGTTTTATTCCATTTTCTTCCAAAAACATCAACCTATGCTTTTTAAATAAAAACAAATAATTTGATAACAATCAAAACCTATTGATAGTTCAATCACTTTGATTCACAAAAAAATAAAGAAAATGTGAAGAAATAGAAGGTATGGAACCTCACTCCCTGCTAGAAAGATTTTAAATGGTCTCAACAATGACAGTTTACAGATGGATGCTATGCTATTAAATGTGTGGTGAAAACAGTATACACAATACTGAGAGTATTCTGAGGTAATACAATGAGTAGGTTTCTGCTTCTGAATGGACAAACAGTGGATTATGAGACTGAATAGACATCAGCATTTTCTGCATTGGAAACATCTGGTTTCCAGCTGCCGGATTTGTTGATTTAAGTAGTTTCAGTGACCAACACTGGTTTGGTTTGTATGAGTCTCTGCTGAGAATCTACAGCCACTTAAATCATTGGATGATCATCTCGGGAGTCCTCCATTACGAAGGACACGACACTACAAGCAACCCATTGTTGTAAGTACTCCTTGAGTTAAATTAATCTCCAGTGTTGTTTTTGTAAAGTCAGAGAGCATGTAGTAGTATTGTGTGTGCTGACTCCTATAAAATAAACTGGAGCTGAAATATTTTAGAAATCCTCCTTTCGTTTTAGTTCATCCATTGAAACAGGTTTTGTCAAACTGCTAATGCTAAATCCAACCTCATTAAATACTGCGGAGGTTAGTTAGCCTCAGAGTGATCATGCTGTGTCTTACATTGATTTAGCAGAGTAGAGGAAAACAAAAAGGAACGGTCATATAGGTAAATTATTCTTGCTAAATTAGCCATGGCTACAAAAATATAGTGTACAGAGACATAACTGATGTAACGACAGATGGAAACTTTACCCATCTGAAAACCCCTCGTCCACTTCTGTACACATTCTGCCCTGGGTTGCTGGAATTGTCTCAAAATAAAGTTGGAGCTTCTGGGGAATCCAAGCCTGATTTCAAGTAAAGCAGTCGACTGGGAATTATTAAGTCCAGTTGATGGTGACAGACATGACAAGACTTTGCAAACATTAAGAAACACCACACAATGTGGACCAGACCAAACACATAGATACAGTACTTTGACTTTCAATCACAACTTCCCATGATGCTGCTGGCGTAGTATGAAAAAGGAGCGAGCATTCAAACGTAAGTATTGAAAATAGCAACGCTTTAATAAAGAGCGATTTTACAAGACTGCAATGTCTGGCTAGCTAGGTGATATCTGGCATTGACATCCATGGTGTTTTACAAAGATGCAGTTATGGTAACTGGGTTTGAAGTTTGATGGGTTACTTGCAAGTTGCATTTCTGCATGCGAGACAGCCTTCAAACGAGTTACATTGTAAAACCGTTGATTATGAATGTCAATGAAGGTTCATGTCAAGAGGTAAGTAAAAAATCTCGTTTTCCAAACACACCGGTAAGTGAGAGTTCACACAATGGTCATGCTTTTACCGGGCACACAAGCCAATAAAAAGACGACACTTAATCATGCAAAAAAAGACAGGTTTTTTCTTGTCAAAAAATAAAAGAACAAAGAAAATCCATTAGAGTTCTGATATCATCCATCCATTGTGACCTTGAATAAGAAGAAGCTGCGCTTTGATGATGACTTTGGTGCAAAAAAATGTTCCTGTTTCGAAGAGGACAGACCCTGTCCTGTCCACTTCCTTGATGAAGACACTCTTGGTATAAACCAGTTGTGATAATTTACCCTTGACCCCCCCACCCCCCCCTGAAACACCCCCCCACCCCCACCCCTTCCTCCTCGAGATGGACACAAACATCACAAACATCAACCCCACCCACCCCTACCCATCCCTGGATGATGACACCTTCAAAATACAACCATTCAAACACAGATACAGCAATAAGTTGTCCCACATACAGTAACGTCATCCAATGGGGCTTTGATCACTTTACAGAGAGAGCACGTCTAAAAACACATGAACGGCATTACCTATATACAGAGGACACAGTAACAGTCAGAGAGGTTGGCCCAGAATGGAACAAGCTGCGTCGTGGGAATGAAGTGCACAATGAAAAGAGCATTCAGCTGACGGGGATAGACAGACCACTGGAACAACGAGTAATGTGGGGGTGGGGGGGGGTTTGGATCAACAATTTTTCCAAAGAAGATTTCCAAATGTCAGCTGCGGCTTATTTAGAAACCTCAGAGAATATCTGTCTGCTTGGTGATGATTTCTAACACAGAGGTCTGTAGCTGCTGGTAGTGGACTCGTAGCTGCGGATACAGAGGGAGAATTTTAGTGAATCCAGCTTTTACATTTCAAGGATGAATCATATGCGATACAGCACTGTGCAGTTGCACTTCTCTGTCAGATTTGTTAGACACCACCACCCTGTGCAGATCCGACAGGAGAGGCTCACCTCAGATTCACTTTGAGATTCCAGGTCTGCCGACTCTGGCTTTTTTTTTTTGCATTTGTGTTTGTCTTACAGGTGATCCTAGAACCACTTTGAAATGATGGGGGTGTAGTACAGACTGAGACACGGTCACAATAGCACTCACTGCTAAGTTAGTACATGCTACCAGCTCACTAGAGACCTTTCTGCTCTATCCGAGCAACATGACCCTGTTTATCTCTATGGGAAGGCATGTGCACACAAACACACGAACAGTACATAGAACAGACACAATCAATAGAAAACGACTTCAACCCCAGTTAATTATTGCCCCTTTCAACTGTACATCCCAGCAATGATTTTAGGTTTTTGTGCAGCAGAGCATTGTTCCCTCTTAAAAGGATTGTGCTATATATATATAAGTATATATATATATCATCTGTCTGTGGGTCTAACTTGACCTTGGATCTGCGAGAAAAGCCACATTATTATTAAACGTCTCATTAAAGCCTCCCCGCCTCTGGCTGTCTGAATTAATCTGTGCGTCGTCACTGCTGGCAATACTGGGGTCGTGACCGGCAGACGATTCCCTCGGTTGCTTTCCGACAGTCTGGTCTTCATCTGTCTCCTCCAACTGACCTATAACAATCCTGTCCACAAATATTAACACTACATAAACGAACTAACTTCTGTGCTAGCAAAATCTTTTATTTGCTTCAATTGTTGAGAGTTGAGACATCTGCTGCCATGATTACACCTACCCAGTTTTTCTGGAGTGCATAGAGGACTTCTGAGGAGACTAAATTTGTAAAGGACGAATGCTCAGGACAGGGAGGACATCTTACAATTGAGAGTTAGACCTTTTCTGATTGGCAAGACTGGGAATCATCTCCTTACTAACATCCAGTCATGTCTCTATCTGGCTCTCAGTGCATTTTTCCCTACTTTTAGGGCAGTACGGGTCTAACAGAACGAGTGAAAGAACAAAAACAAACAACATTCTGTACAGAAACCTGATGTGGACACACAAGAGGTACAACACTTCATCAGGAAACCACTTCTAGACAAGCTACAGATGGGTGGAAAAGACGTAACAAGGTTGCATGATATTGCACAGCTGTAGAGGAGGAAACAAAAACAAAATACAATGTGTACAGCACATCCCCAAGTAGCAAAGTTAGTGTAAGAGGTTTGTTTACATCCAAATATGATGCCTGGCTGTGGCTCAGTGCTTTCATCAGTTAGTTCCAGTGCAGTAACACATTGGTACCTGGCAACACAGTAATGACATCAGGTACCAAAAGAGAAACATACAGTACTTACCCTACACAGCTCCATCCATCCACACACACACTAATACACACACACACACACAAGCGTTCCTGCAAATTATCCTTCCATGCTAGATTGTTAATGTGAAGTTGGCAATTAAGAACAAATTGAGCTCATAAAAAGACTCAAAACAGTGAATGTTGATGCAGCACACTGAAATGTAGAAAAAGGGACACGCACGCTTGCATTTGAATCGATTACTTCTGACATCAGGTGATGGATGACACGCAACCGGGAACCAATCTAAACAAGATGCTAAAATCACCCACACAGACACACACCCTTGGCAAAGTTCACATTGAGTAAAGTGCCAGGAAACGATCCAATCAGAGAAAGAGGCGCGCGTCGTCCAGGTTTGATTCAGTTGGGGGATGGAGTGGGAAGAGTGTTAGTTTTTAATACAGGAAATGATCTGGATGAGGAGGTCAGGAAGTGGCCTGTTGAGCGTCTGCACTTCCATTGAGCTGTCAGTTTTCGTAGCCTCATCACAGGGCGTATTCACCGTCTGAACTGGCAAATCAAACAGAGGATGAGTGGGACGGACGTGGAGCCTCTGGTGCCGCGGCATTATGGATTCAAAGACAGAGAGATCAGTAGCCACATGGAGAGAGGAGAGGAGATTAGAGGGTCAGGCGACATAGAAAGAGAGATCAGCATTTCATCCTTTATCCTTCCTCTGGTCCTCTCTCCTTCTTCCTCTCCGCTCCCTCTTTCCTCTCTGTCTTTGTCTTCCTTCCTTCTGGGATTTGGTTCTGGATTTGTTTTCTTTGACTCTTTGCCTCCATCTCTTTCCTCTCGCCATCTCTTTCTCAGCTTCGCTGCCATGGTTACAAGATCATCCCTACATGAAGTGCATCTGCAGAGGACAGGGTGAGAATAGAGAGTAATTTATTTCAACAAAACCCCTCATCAACTGCTCAGGCATCTATTGACAAGCATATTACCTGCCGCAGTGCCAAGAAAACAGCTTCTCTGGGCCGTAAATGCTCAGTGAGCAATTATATAGCTCTGTTGTGTTTTGAATAAATGCTCAAAATACACTTAATTGTTTATTCTACTGAGAGTCTTGTAGCTGTACCAACTGATGGTTATTCGCAGTGAAAAACACTTTTCACACTCACTGGTCAATTTGGAAGTTGTCTGACAACATGATTCATCCTGTTTCTCCAGGGGGTCCACAGCTTGAGAGCGACTCATCAATCATTAAGTGTAGCTACAAATAAATGCATCAATGATTCCAGAAGACTTCAATGCATCCCAGTCATTTTGAGGATAAAGAAATGCTTCTCCCTCTGCACCGTATCTATTTTTGTTTCAGTATGAAAATTCTTCGACCAACTTAAAAAAATACTTCAATCGGTAAATCTGCAAAATTAAATTTGTTCAAATTAAAAGAAACAATATATATCAACACAATCGACAACTTTAGTTTGAACAACCTTAATTCATTTAATTGTTTTGTTTGATGGTTTTAAAAATGTTTTTGGGTTGGTCAACTTCTATGTTCACTGTACATTTCCCTGATAAAGGATAAACAACCCAGAGATTTACGGAATCCGATGTTGAGATAAAACTCTGCTGTCGCCACACGTGGCCAGTGAGTTACAAACACACGACATCAGATCCTTCATAAAAGGCTGCTCTGAAATAAGATGGAAGGAGAGATATCACACTAATTTATGTCTATTTTCAGCTCTTACAGGTAAACTTCCCCCTGCCTTGCTTGCTGTGATGACTCCATTTTAAGGAAACATTTCTTTCCAAAATGTAAGTAACATTAACAGATATAAAGCACAACCAAGCAGGTTTTAATTGCCCGTATCTTCTTAACTGTATGTGTGTGTATCTTTATGTGTGTGTTTGTGTTACCTGTGTCCCCGGGATGGGTCCAAAGGGATTGGTAGGTCTCAGGACCGGCTGGTTGTACATGACATGCTGTGGGGGCATCATGGGAACGCCCCCCATCTGATGACTCATCTGAGGAGGGAGCTGGTGAGACGACAGGTGAGAGAGCATGAAGGAGGAATAATGGGCCAATATTGGTTGTGAATGCATGACTGAGATTAAACAAGAAGAGGTCGTTCTTTACCATTCCATACACAGGCACTTGGGGTGTCGTCATAGGAAAAGCCACTGGTGCGGGAGCCTGCACAGAAAAACACAAAAGATCGCTTTCTAGTCTTTACAGTGTGTACATGAGTTACAAACATGATCCTGATGCTGTCGGCCTTTTACTTTCTGACGTATGCATCTATCACAGAATGGAAGCATATTGCTACCACATCAGGAAAAGGGAACAGTGTCATGTTGTAACGTGAATAGTTTATCGCAATTAATAAATGTATTAAGCTACAAAGTAATGCATATTAATCCATAATGTGATCAAATGCCTATGTTGTAATGACATGAAAATATTGAATTATAACGTGAAAAACATCTTGTTACTGCTAAATTTTCCATCTTATAATGTGATCCATTTGACTTTTTCTGGTGTGGCAGCAATACAGCTCCATTGTGAGCAACAAAAATAGATGCAACATTTACTAAAGATGAACTGAGGTTGTAAATTAGCAGTCTGTGCAAATGCAGCATGATAAGCAAAAAAATCAATTTTGAGTGTTTTTTAAAAAGCAAAGTAGAGGAAAAGGTTGGAATAAAGAAAGGTACTTACATAGCCAGTATAGATCATCCCATTCTGTGGAAAGTTAGAGAAAAGGAGAAGAAAAAAAACGTTTTTAATACAAGTCTGCGCAGAACAATTCATCTCAAAATGTGCAAAGAAAATAAACCAGACCTTAAACTATTCTTCATGTTCCAATCACTTCTACTTTCTATTCAAGCCATGCCGCCGGCTTTCCGATCCATTTGCTCAACAAATGACCGTTTTGCGTTGAGAGGTCAATCAGTTGTAAATTAAAAAGATGAAGCCAGATTGAATGGAAGAGACGTGCGGATAATTAGAGCCGAGCACAAAGGACGCAGCCACATGCAGGAGCTCCTTTAAAAGCCCTGAATTCAGCACAAAGTTACGTTTGGCAAACAGGTATAATTTGATTAATTAAAATCCAGAGTGAGATAAAACATAATTTTTTAAAGTCGACTTCACTGATAAGATGATGAATTTGAACCAAATACTTTTAAGGGCTTCGCCGAAAAAAAACACATTTACTGACTTACAGAGGTCGTCCACTAACCAGAAGGTGGTGGGTCGATCCCCGGCAAAGTGTCCTTGGGCAAGACACTGAATCCCCAAATTGCCTCTGACGACTGTGTAATGTGTGTTTGATAAAAAGTGTTGCATATTGAAGTGCTGTATGAATGTGTGGTTAAATGTGACATGTACTGTTAAGCACATTGATTGCTCGTTGAGATGAGAATATTTCTATTTATAAATACAGCCAATTTCCCATTTAACTGTTCCATTCATGCTGTCAGCTTGTCTGGAGGATGTTTTATCAGCCAACGTTACTGACTCTTGTGTGAGGATGTACACGGGGTAAAGTAAGCATGTCAAGACTTCATGACGACGTGAAAGTAGCTTTTAATTTACCATCTGAGGGACGGGCATGGGTGCAGGTGCCATGGGATGAGTGGTGTGAGTCCAGTTAGTGCTGGTGCACATTGTCTTTGACTGCCAGCTATTTCCTCCTGTTGGCTTCTTCTCCACCAGCTGACTCCACTGGAGCTCCGGCCTGATGCACACACACACACACACACACACACACACACACACACACACACACACACACACACACACACACAGCATTAACAGGTGCAACAGTGAAGC